GCAACAGGCCATGGCATAGCCTTTAAACCCCACCCCAGTTTTGCAGATGGGTCCTTTTCTTTTCTTTCTTTTCTATTTTTTTACCTTCGTCAGCACTTGGGAAGCGGAGAGGAGCTCCAGTGCGAATCAATTGGCCATCTTCTTAACCGGAACATTTCGGGCGGCTTTCCTGTGACAATGGGGGCCACAACGATCCATCATCCAATCCTCTTTTTTTTTTTTTTTTTTTCCCCTTCCTGTTTCCGATCTCTCTCTCTCTCTCTCTCTCTCTCTCTCTCTCTCTCTCTCTCTCTCTTTTTGCTTTTTCTCCACACCCCCTTGTTATAGTGTAGCCATCTGGCTGGGTCGGAAATGCCTCATTTCAAGCATTTGCCAAGTCGTCTGTGATGTGCTACATGTACAAGATTGACCTGGAGAGACCACAGTCCCGACACTGGTTGCATCTCATACTGTGTTACCAACCGGGCCGCTCGGGGGACCTTGGTCGGCGTGGGCGGCCAATGCCCACAAAAAAAATAAAATAAATCGGAGGCTCGAAAAAAAACAAACAAGGCTCCCCAAAAAATCATTAAAATTGGAAAAAAAAACTATGTAGCGACAGTTACACAGAAAAATAAACTGGACAACGTTTGCCTCAGGTTCACATGAAAATTCTTTGCCAAATAGAACATAAAAACTGGAAAGTTGGAAACTTAGGCTGTTTTCCGGGCACCCGGGCACCCAACTTATGCCCGGGTACCTGGCCGGGCATGATCCCCGGGCAGGGTTCCAGGCAACCTCAGCGCAAAAAAAAAAAAAAAAAAAAAAAAAACCCAAAAAGTCCGGAAAAAAGATATGTTGTGAAGAATTGCAATACAAACGACTTTTAGCTGAGGGTCACATTAGATTTCCTCACGGAATCGGAGATGAAAAAGAAAATAACAGAATCACACTAACTCCCCCCCCCCCCCTTGAAAGCCAACTCGAAAAAAAAAAATGAGCCCCGATTCGAGGTCCTCTGGGGAAGTTTTCTCTCTCTTTTTTTTCGCACGCCCAGGCTGGGTGTCCACCCCCCTGGGCATCATGCCCGGGTTCCCGGCCGGGCATGAAAATCTTCCTAGCTATTTAAAAAAAATTAATAATAATAAGAAAAAAAAAGTTACTTTTATTTTTTTAATTATTTTTTGGCCTGACCTCCCTGGCAACATAGGAGCAGAAAGAATTTCAAAAGAAGGTTTGAGAATAAGGAGCTGCATCCGTCCAATAAAAAAAAGAGTGTGTCACTGCAGCCCAAATGTCGCACTTACAGCTCAAAAATATTGCTTCATTGCTAACAGTTTAGTCTTACGCACTTTAAAAGTTTAAATGTAAAAAAAATATAAATATGAAAAATGTTATTTCATCCTTTCAAAAAGGAGGTACAGGACCAGATGCCAGGTAGCTAGGACATGTGCACCACCTGCCGTCTTCTACCGAATGTAACACAACCTGATGATGAATGTATACGAGCGATGTTTCCGGTCAGGGACATCCATAATGAGGGTGCTTTGTGGTCGGCGGACGACGGCAGACTTGGCAGCGACTGAGGGCGACCTTTAAGACAACGAGACGCGGAACACACACACACACACACACACACACACACACACACAGAAGAAAGACAAAACATCAAACCTGAGGAAAGGGTGTCAGTTCCGATGTCGAATTGATTGACCTTCCTGGAATAGAAATCAACTCCTTGATTGATATATATCGTCACAAACAGAACTTCCCGGTAAACCGTAGGCAGAGAGAGAGAAGAGGACAACAAACGAGGGGCTGTGACAAACTGTTTCGTCGGAGTTTCACCGACTCATCAGGAGGCTGAACCCTTAACAGTTCGCAGAATCCCCTCACTGATTACACTGTAAATGATAATCTACCTTAACCAAAATNTTTTTCATGGTGATCCAGTCTTCTTCCTGGAGGGGAGGCCCCTTTCGAAGGATCATATCCTTCAATTTCTAAGCGCCAACTTTTGCGATTTTCCGCGCTCAGAAGAATCAATTAAAAAATCTGACAAAAAGAATTAAAAAAAATTGGCCCGTGAAATAAATGCGGTGCCGATTCCTTACATTTTCCATTTTTGCCACTCTACGGCGTGAGGGCCAACGGAAAAGTACCCCAACTTCCACAATTTTTTGCGCTCAGAAAAAATGACTCGTAAAATCTGAAATTTGGAGGGCCTGAGGATTT